TAGCAGCACCGCTAACGGCTAACCAACAGGAGGAGAGCTAGTAACGTTAGCAGCACCGCTAACGGTTAACCAACAGGAGGAGAGCTAGTAACGTTAGCAGCACCGCTAACGGTTAACCAACAGGAGGAGAGCTAGTAGCGTTAGCAGGACCGCTAACGGCTAACCAACATGAGGAGAGCTAGTAACGTTAGCAGCACCGCTAACGGCTAACCAACAGGAGGAGAGCTAGTAATGTTAGCAGCACCGCTAACGGCTAACCAACGGAGGTTCACTTCAGTTACATGATGATGCCTTCAGGCTCTGCTCAGTGAACATGAGTACTGGCTGAAGGTACATTATAACGTTATCATGATGTGTTCACATGCCATCTGTAAAATGTAGTTTTGGTGATAAACTTGAATAAATCCAGTAGTTTGAGGGAGATGTTTTCACATGAATATAAAATAGATATTAGAGATGAATTATGATGTTTAACTTCTAACACAAGCTCTAAGAACATTATAACACATTATTAAACATAATAATGAAGAGATGTATTATTTCCTTATTTGAATTGTGTGTTTTTATGCAAATACCCTGAATAAATGACCATAACAAAGTAAAAGGACAACATCTGACGAATGTTCAAGTTTGGTTAAAACTCGTCACTTTTTACCCAGCCGTCCAATCACAGTGGGGGAGGGGCGGGAGCACAAAGAAGTGTTTTATTACGAGTATGTTTTGTTCTTTTGTGATTTTACTCTTGACTTCATGGTGTCCTCATGTCTCAAGCACTAGACCACAAAAACACAAAGAAAAGCTACAAAACGTGGTATTTGAGAAGCTGAGGAACGTTTTGGCACTTTTTTATGCTTCATTACCAAAATGGTGACACGTACATTTGCTGCCTGTCGATTAATTAATTGTTTCAGGACTTCCTCCCTTGAGGACTGAAACAACAGATCTACTTCATCTGTTCATGCAGAAGCTGAAGAGAGTCTCACCTGTGTCCGTGTCCTCGGTGGCCGGTCTGGACCGAGTCTGAGGAAACTGGACCAGCAGAACCAGCAGGATGCAGGACAGTAGCAGCTGGAGGCAGCGGGGGGGAAACATGTTGTCCTCACTTCCTGTCTGGGGACGAGTCAGATTCATGGTTTAGGTTATTTACTGCAGATTGTGTTTGTGTCACTGATCATCAGTAACACGATGTTCTGTGAAGAAACAAGAAGACAACGAGTGGAACCGGCAAACCGACATAAACCAGCCAGCAGACAACCTCCGGTTCTTTAAAGTGAAGTCAGAGCTTCATGTGTTAAAGCTGCATTCTCTCGAGCGTCCACCAGGGGGCGACTCCTCTGGTTGTATAGAAGTCTATGAGAAA